GCTGTCGATATACTAAAATAAATATTTGCGGAAGTCCAAAACTATCTCCATCAAAATAGGACCAACCCATCACACACTCACCTTTGAATAAAACTTTACGTGGAATATATCTTAAATATAGCAGGAAGGAAAATGCAGAACGGCACGTATGTTTCCCGGTCAAGCATGCTAAGAAAATGCACGTCAACAGCACTTCCTTTATCATTACAAGTTATTCTTTTCTTTCTTTTGAAAAGCAATTTACTGTCAAATTTAGCTGATGTCAATACGGAGAATCCATCAAAATCCCATTTTAGCTTCTGCATTATCAAATATATAATAAAGCATCCAAATACCATCTAAGTAAGGCTAACATATAAAAAAATCAATTGTATAAAACCCATCAGACAGAATGTCTTTTTTGATGAATGAGCGATTTTCATTTATCAAAGAACGACTTAACAGGAAATCAAGTTCTACTCACAGACAGGGAGAATCTTGTATAAGTTTAAGATCTCCTCCTTAAGATATTGACCTAAAAAGACAATGCCAGCTCGTGGGACAATGTTTATGACCACGAAAGCTCTATTTTTGAAGAAGCCTTCATTATTTTGGTGAGTCTAAAGGAGGGCATTTGTGTGTGTTTTGTTAGTAAAAAAAGATGCCAAAAAGTTGATAAAACGATGCATAATAAAAGGATGTCTTCTGAGGACTGTTCACAGTGCTTCTTTTGGCCTTCAGTAAACCCTGAAAAGTTAATGATTATATACAGGAAAAAGAAATGTATGTATTGCATTTATAAAAACTAATAATAGAAAATAGCAACGGAATTAATGATTTGTAATTGTTTACATCCAAATATCATGAGTTCATTATCACCAGTATAGATGAAATTCGATTTATTATATTTTAGTTAAATCGATAATCTATTTAAAATCGAAGATAAACTATATATTAATTCGGCTGTGCCTTAATAAAAACTAAATAATTTCTTCTGATTTCTCAAATCTAAGAAGACCACTGGCAAATTAATAATCCAAAGTCTTTATTCTTCAGATCTCTATGAAGTAGCTTCATGTCCTCTAGACCTCTTGATGAAAAATTATCTCCCATCTATCGCCTTTATTCTTTAGATCTCTATGAAGTAGCTTCATGTCCTCTAGACCTCTTGATGAAAAATTATCTCCCATCTATCGCTGTATAAGGAAAGACAAGAACAAGCAAACAGACTTAGTATTGTCAAATTTCTAGTTGCAACTCCTTAATTTTGTTCCTTAATAAATGTAACTACACCAGGCAATCTTCAGCAAAACCTGTTATCCAGGCCCTCTATGCAATCGAGGTGACGAGCCGCTTGAAAGGAAGGAATGAAGGAAGGAAGGTGTTGGATTGGTTGTGTCCATGTTGGCCTGTTGGGCCTATTTAGCCCACTCAACTGCTTCAAAGCCTTCAGCTAAAGGGACAGCTTTATAATCTGACCACTTTGCCTTTTCTTTGCCATAAAAATAAGTACTAGCATTTAGTTGCAGGTGGAAGGGGACGATCACTTTCTTTTCTTCCCATGCTATTCTTGTTGCTGCTTTACCTCTTATGCTAGCTTGGTTACAGGGATTTCCTGCAGTCTCCGTTGCAGGAGAGTTTTTCTAACCTTGGCAACAACATCTAGTCTGAATCTTGATAGATATAAGCAATTGGTGTCTTGAAGATTGTGTTTGGTGCACAGGCAACAGTCGAGTTATCAACATCTGACGGGCTAATTATGTGGTATTATAAGATGAATTTGTACTAAAAGGAAAATGAGTTTTTAGTATATTTAAGATCTGAATTAAATGTGTTCTATGAATACTTGATTTGATGTTGTTCATGTTTCAATAAAACGAGAATAATAGGAAAAACTGAAACAAACTATTGTACAATTCAAATCGGAGAACTTATACAAATAAGCCTGATCTAAGCTGCATACTCATAGCTTCCTCGCTCTGATATTGAAGTAGCTTCATGTCCTTTAGACCTCTTGATGAAAAAACTATCTCCCATCTATCACTGTTATTGTCACATTATTCGCGGAAGGTACGCCAGAAGAGCTCATCAATCGTCTTTGTTCTGCCATGTTTCTGCATGCACTAAAAATTGGAAAGGTCAGCGCAGATCATGTTAAGAGTAGCTGGTACTGGAAAGTGGAATTCAAGAAACTATGTTCCAACGATCCTGTTGGTGTTTGCTTGAGTTTCATTGCCTCCGAAAATTCGAGCCATCCCGAAATCGGATATTTTTGGATTCATTTCACTGTCTAAAATGTTGCTAGGTTTTAAATCCCTGTGAATGATTCGTAACCGTGAGTATCTATGTAGATACAGAAGGCCTTGAGCAATTCCTTCGATTATCCGAATCCGTTTACCCCAATCTAAGATTTGTCCTCTGTTTGCATCTGTTTATAGTTTACACACAAATCTGATATAAATTTCTTGAAGCATTTGGAAAGTTAATGAAAGTTAATGCAAGAAAATGCTGACCAAAGAGAAAGAAATCCAAGCTTTTATTTGGCAGGTACTCATAGATTAGCATTTTCTCATCCCGTTCAATACAGGAACCAAGTAGCCGGACAAGATTCCGGTGCTGGAGTTTGGCGATTAGAGTTGTCTCATTTCTGAACTCCTCAAGCCCCTGCACAGATCTTTCTGAAAGCCTCTTCACTGCTATTTCCAGTCCCGTGGGTAATTTGCCCTATTAAATGAACCTAATTTGCCCTAATCAACGAACAAAAAGTCGATCTGAAAGCTCTTTCAAACAATTGTTTTTTTGCACTAATGGTTTTTTTGCACAAAAAGTCGATCTGAAAACTCTTATTTTCACACTGCAAAGGAGATTTCCTAACACAACCACTTGACCAATCATTTTGCACTAATGGTTTAAAACCTTTCAGGCATTCACAATCATAGCTGGATGAATTTTCATTAAAGACTCCAAAAGCCCCACATAAACCATAAACACCAGCTTGGTCTCTTGGTTGAGACCAAAAAAGAAACCAATTCCAAACACCTTCCAACCAAGTGAGCTGTCTGATCTGTCCTGAAACACCAATCACGGTTCTTGAAAGAATTGAGGAATTGTACACGGAATAGGTGAAATAGCTTTCATTTTCATTTGATACATAACTAAAATTGAAAATATAGTTCAATCTCATCTCAGGCACCATGGTAAATCTTTCTCCATCCCAATCACCACTGCTCCAATACCTGTGTGACCTGTTCCACTCTATGAAAAACTGACTACTTCCATTTGGGTCGATCCCAATCGAGAACATACCTGGTGCAGGATCTTCTGAGTTTTTCCAGGAAATAAGCCGCTGCACCTGCCCAGTGTGCTTGTTGATTCCAAGCTTTCCACTAGGTAGCCATGTGTCAGTTGGATAATCGAAACTCTGCCACTATATGGTAGGTGGATTTGAGCCATCTCTTACGACAAAGTTTCCATCATCAAGAATCACTGCTTCTGCTGTACTAGTATTCGACATTGAAGATGCAAGAGCTGTTGACCAAATTGTTTTGGTGAAATTCGTCAGCAAGACAAGATTGCCATCAGCTGACAATTCAAGCTTCGATGAAGCTGGGTCGTTTGAAGGGCTCTCCCTATTTGCTACCCAAACAATCATCTTATTTGCGAAGTTGTTATACCATATTCCCAGGTAAATGTTTACAGAAGTGCCTGGCTTGAAGAAACCGAGTTCAAAAGTGCCGTTTTGAGATATTAGTGTCCGGCTCGCAGAGAGAGATTGGCAACCAAAAGGGTATCACCTACAATGGAGAAGCAAGTCCTATGGGAAACGAATAGCAACAACAGCACAAAGAGCAAAAAACGTGGCTTTGTCTTAACATGACATCCTCTCTAATTCGTGGGATTAGGGGTGAAAGAGCTATGACTGAGCATGAATCAGAGAAGGAGGAAGGGGAAAAAACCTAGAAATCCCTTGTGAATTCATCGACTATATGATAATGCTTTCGATCTCTTGTCAATAATTTTCCACATTGACTTGGACTTTTCTGTTCTCGCTATCCCCTCCAATTAGAGGCTATGTGTTACAGTGTTAAATGTGCACGGGGATGACTATGGCATTGAAATTTGTAGTCATGTGATGACGACATGTGGGTTGAATTGTCAAATTACGTTGAGAACATCAATAATATGAGGCATTAAAGAAACTTAAAAATGAAAGCTTTTATATGGTATATTTTTTGTTTATTGTTTTTACTTAAATTTATTTTTTTGAAAAGAATTGAAGAAACAAGTGTTCAAATTATAGTTATTTCCATCTATAGAAAAATAGAAAAAACCATGACCAAAACACACTTATCTTCAAAGTTATTCTATATATTTTTGCATGAATAAATTCTATATATTTGGCTCATCTTAAGGTATTGCCTTCTATTTATTTATTATTCTTTGTTTCTTAAGAAAAATTATTCACATAGTCAAATAAAACCACGGGCAGAAACAACCACAGTAGTAGTCTGAAATGCTTGTTCATAATAAAGTTATATTTTGTGAAAATATAGGACCATTATTATAGGACTTTTCAAAGTCATTGATAAATGTATTAGCTGATAAACCTCTTATTTAGGCCCTCTATGCAATCAGGGTGACGAGCTGCTTGGAAGGAAGGAAGGAAGGTATTGGACAGGCTTTGTCAGTGTTGGCCTGTCGGGCCTATTTGACCTACTCAACTGCTTCAAGCCTTCAGCTAAAGGGACAGCTTTATAATCTGACCACATTGCCTTTTCTTTTAAATAAAAATAAGAACTAGCATTTAGTTGCAGGTAGAAGGGGACGATCACTTTCTTTTCTTCCCATGCCATTCTCGCTAATGCTTTAATCTCTTATGCCAACTTCGTTACAGGGATTTCCTGCAGTCTCCATTGCAGGTGAGCTTTTCTAACCTTGGATACAACATCTAGTCTGAATTCTGATAGATATAAGCAACATCTAGTCTCCATTGCAGTTGATTTATCAACATCTGACGGGCTAATTATGTGGTATTATAAGATGAATTTGTACTAAAAGGAAGATGAGTTTTTAATATATTTCTATAAGTTCCAGGGCAGGTTGAGCCATACAAAGAGCAGAATGTACCCTAAAAATGCATTTCAAACATATGCACTGACCTAAGAAAGGCAACCAAATAGTTCTCTCTTTTGCCAAAGATTCTTAACAGCTTGTGATTAATGGGATCCATAAAGCAGTCAAATTGGTATCAATAGCCTTTGACTTCAATTTCTAAATATCTGCAAAAAAAACCACAAAATGGAACAATTTCTAATCTAAACCTCTTGATGAAAAAAAAAACAAGAAAAAAATCGAATCACACCGCGCATTGGGATTGGAGTAGTCTATCATTATAAATCCAATGATATCTTGGTATCAAAAGAAAAAATTATCTGACATCTCTCGTTATTGTCACGTTATTCACGGAAGGTACGCCGACAGAGCTCATCAATGACCTTGGTTCTGCCACGTTTCTGCCTGTAACAAAAGCAGGCTGCTTAGGTTATGGGAGAGCTACGTGTTCGTTTACGATCATGGATATGACATCAGACATTGTATGCCGGTCAGCAGGACTTTCTTGGACACAAAGAAGTCCTATGTTTATGTATCTCAACGGCGTAATAGTTGAAGGAGGGTCTCCCAGGATTGGATCTATCAAGTCCAAAACTTTATTAGAATTCCATAACTTCCATGCCTATGGTATAACAACACAAATGCTGCATCATTAGTGTGGAGACTAGGAAAGTAGTCAAATACAAATCAAGCTGGAAGAAAAAGAAATGAGAGTGTATGAAAGCTCCCCACGTCCAAGAAGATTGAGGGAGTCGCTGTGGTAGAAACTAGTATTCTTCTTGCCGTTCACAATCTCAAGTACCAGCACCCCGAAGCTAAACACGTCAGATTTTATTGAGAAGAGGCCCTCCATAGCATATTTAGGGGACATATAGCCACTAACAACTGGAAAGGTCAGTGCGGATCATGTTAAGAGTAGCTGGTACTGGAAAGTGGAATTCAAGAAACTTACTATGTTCCAACGATCTTGTTGGTGTTTGCTTGAGTTTGGTTGCCTCTGAAAATCCGAGCCATCCCGAAATCAGACATTTTTGGATTCATTTCATTGTCTAATAGAATGTTGCTAGGTTTTAAATCCCTGTGAATGATTCGTAACCGTGAATATCGATGTAGATACAGAAGGCCTGGAGCAATTCCTTCGATTATCCGAATCCGTGTACCCCAATCTAAGATTTGTCCTCTGTTTGCATCTATTTATATTTTATACATAAACCTGATATAAATTTCTTGAAGCATTTGGAAAGCTAATGCAAGAAAATGCTGACCAAAGAGAAAGAAATCCAAGCTTTTATTTGGCATGTACTCATAGATTAGCATTTTCTCATCCTTAGATCATCAGATACTTTAGGAGAAAGGCAACAGCATGATGTGCAGCAACCGGATATGCAGCAGCAACAGATTCCAATATCCATTTTGTTAGCAATTTGACCGAGTCTCCTAATATTGTGCCCTCTCTTTAGAATGAGTTTGTTTTGTATTTTACCAACTTATAGTTGCAGTGTATATCTATAAATATAATACATTGACGTATGGCTAAAGTAACAGAGCCAAGCTTCATCTCACATTCCTCTGTTCATATTCTAATAGCCTGACAAGATTCCGGAGCTGGAGTTTGGCGATTAGAATTGTCTCATTTCTGAACTCCTCAGGCCCCTGCCCAGATTTTTCTGAAAGCCTCTTAACTGCTATTTCCAGTCCCATGGGTAATTTGCCCTAATAAATGAACCAAAAGTCATTCTGAAAGCTCATTCAAACTATTTTAACATTTTTCTTAAAATATTTGAACAATTAGTATTTCTCATTTAAACGTAACTTACCTTGTAAACAGATCCAAATCCTCCCTCTGCAAGCTTATTCGAGAATTGTCCAGTTGCAACTAATACGCTCCCATAACTGAATAATGGCAATTCTACACTTCTATTCCATCTTTTCTCCCCATTGTCAACAGTGCTAGATTCATTGCTTGTTGAGCTAGGATCGGTATCAAAATCAAAGAGCAATATATTGTGGCTTGCATGTTCCTTCCCTGTTTAAGAAAAAAATTAAAAATGACTGAACACAATCACTTTGTTGAACACAGTCACGCTCTTATAACTTTATATGGATAAAATTTTATGGCAAGTAATAATATAAAAAATACAAAGTTACGAGAATGATGATGATATTTTATGGTGATGCGATAGTTGTAGTGGTGGTAAAGGTTGGGGTGGGAATGGAGGGGGGTGGTGGTGGTGGTGGTGGTGAAGGAGTGATAAGGTGATGGTGGTGATAGCAGTATGGTGATGGCAGCAGTAGCAACAAGTATGGTAGCAGCCATTGTGTTAACAGTTTCAGCGGAGGTCCTAGCTGCAAGATAGTGGTGGTTAAAATTATTGCATGATATTGTAAGTAGATTAGTGCCCCAAAAATATTTTATACAACTTTATAAGGTGAAAATTTTATTTTCAATAAACAAATTAAGTTTAATGGTAGACTGGGAAACAAGTTCATGAAAATCATAAAAACATATTTCTGTAATTTTTTTCACAAAAAGTCACTATTTCAAATATATATATATATATATATATATATATATATAAAACTCCAGTAAAATAAACCTTACTATCTGCATAGCTAACACATAATTACAAATCAGGGCTTTTTCTCACTTTTCATCACCAGTAACTTGAGAGTTAATTAAGTCTACCAGGAGACAACAGAAATTAAAGCAAGAACAGGGTGTACCTTTGTGTATGAGCTTTCCCTTGCGCAGACAGCTGAAGTATATGAAAAGGCCTAAGGTAATCAGAGTTACTGGAGCAGCCACAGCCAAGGTTACCCTTATTGTCCTTCTGATATTACCTACTTGTAAACACATTTACAATTAAAAGCTTTTTTGAATTAGAAAAAAATGGAAAGATAGGTTATGTAGGAACATGGCGTCCACGCTTTTATCTGGAAAGACTACACCTTATTTTGTGAAAAATAGTTGCTCAACATTTATTGGATCATTTATGGCTATATAGATACAACCTTCTTACCACACCTATTCGGCTACTCCCACTACCAGTCTCAAGTTCAAGCTCAGAAGCAGCAAATCTGATGTAAATTTCAGCTTCAGTCCTGCCACCAGCAACCTCTGCCTGTTGTAAGTTTATAAGAGCTCCATCCCATAAAAGACACTCACCATTATTATCATTATAGGCATAAGCCATGCAAGAACAATTTTCAATGCAATCCAATTTGCATCTTTCATACCTCACTTTCTGATATGCTTTTGAATTTCCTTGTTATGTTACATTCGACATCTTTAAAAACCCATCATTTGACACTGCAATATTTTTCCTATGTTGACAATGCAAAGGAGACATCCTAAGGCAACCGCTTGACCAATCATTTTGTACAAATGGTCCAAAACCAATGAGACATCCACAAGGAGGTGATGAATTTACATGAAAGACTCCAAAAGCCCTGCATAAACCATAAACATCAGCTTCGTCTTTTGGTTGAGACCAAAAAAGAAACCAATCCCTAAAATCTCCCAAAGAACTGAATTGTTTGATCTGTCCTGAAACATCAATCACGGTTCTTGAAAGAAAAGAGGTATTGTACAAAGAATAGGTGAAATAGCTTTCATTTTCATTTGATACATGACTATAATTGAAAATATAGTTCAATCTCATCTCAGGCACCAAGGTAAATCCTTCTCCATTCCAATCACCACTGCTCCAATACCTGTGTGACCTGTTCCTCTCTATGAAAAACTGAATACTTCCATTGGGGTCGATCCCAATCGAGAACATACCTGGTGCAGGATCTTCTGGGTTTTTCCAGGAAGTAAGCCGCTGCACTTGCCCAGTGTGCTTGTGATTCCAAGCTTTCCACCAGGTAGTCATGTGTCAGTTGGATAATCAAAACTCTGTCAGTATATGGTAGATGGATTTGAGCCATCTCTTACGACAAAGTTTCCATCATCAAGAACTACTGCTTCTGCTTTACTAGTTTTCGGCACCGAAGATGCAAGAGCTGTTGACCAAACTGTTTCTGTGAAATTTTTCAGCAGGACAAGTGTAAAGCCGAAACTGGATACCAAGCCAAACTTAAATTAATCGAAGTATATATAAAAAAAATTTCAAAAGAATCCCTTTTCTTCTCTTTTTAAATAAAAAAATTTAATTTTAAATTTTAAATTTTTAATTAAAAAAAAAATAGAAATAGAAAATAATATTTTTTTTTCATATTTATGTTGTTAAGATTAATTTATAATTATTAATTAAAAGTTTAATGTTAAATAATTAATTAGTATATTATTGGAAATAAGGATATCTGAGTTAACTTGTTTAAATTGATTTTTATAAATTAAGAAATTTATTTCAATCTTACTAAAAAATCTGGATAAAATGATCTTGAGGTCGAAGATAACTAAATTTTTTTTGGACCTTAATTTATGAAAATTTCAGTTTAGTTTCTAAACTTTAAAAAAATTATAATTTGATCCCTAAATGTATTTTGATATTTTGGACAGTGTTATTATGAGGTTAAGGATAATGAATCTCGGTTTGATAATTTATTTGGAATATTTTTAGTTTGGTCCCTTAATTTTAGGAATTTACATTTTAGTCCCTAAACTTTAAAAAATTACAGTTTGGTCCCTATTTCATTCTGGACTGAATTAATGATGGTTTATGGGTGAAATTTTAGTATGGTTATGTATTTACATTTTGGTCTAGTTTTGATAAAATTACATTTTAGTCCCTATTTTGGATAATTATCATTTTAGTCCCTAAACCTAGGAGACCAAACCTAGTTTTCTTTTATACATTGAAATATTTTATTTGTGTTGTTTTGAGTTGCTTTTAAGTATATTTTATATTTTTATTGTAAGTTCTTCTAACTATCCTCAATAAATGTTTTGGGTATTTTATCTGATATTTCTTTTAAGCTATATTTTTCTGGGTGAGTGAGATAATTTTTTATACGCATATAATATAAATAAATATGTATATTTATTATACGATGAGTATAATTAATTAATTTCTTGAATATTTTTATATTTTGCTTTATTTTTCGAGTATTCATTTATTCTTGAATGCAACTCGCAATTTATAGAACTAAATTCTATTTGGTACGATATATGCTTTTTTAATGATTCTATGAATATCTATTATACCTTGATATAGGATTTGTCAGTAACTCCATGCTAATGAAGAGTAGTGAGTCATGTGGCGACTACTCTATACACCTAACTAGTGAGAGAGACATCAACATGTGGCGACTAATCATCCCACATTTGTTATTTTTAGGTGTCATCTGATCTCTGACATGTATTCCACTACTTTATGATAATATATTTAGTATGTATATGTATATCAAGATAAATCGACTTGCAAACTATTAATATCTAAAATATCTTAAATGAATATTAAATGTTAGTTCCTTACTAGGTTGAACTCACCTCTCATTTTTAATATTATTTTAGGTTCTTATTTTATGATAGTATGTGAACTTTGTTGAGTGTTTCTGCTTTTTCAGTTTTGGTTGGCATGTCTTATTTATTTTGCGAGGTTTTCCTTTTAGTTTTGATTTGATATTTTAGATATTCTACTATTATCATATTTTAATTAAGTTTGGATTTTTGACAATGTAATAAGTATTATAGATTATTGTTTTTTATTTTAATTATTGATGAGAAGTTTTGAACTATCATTTAGTTTTATTAGTTTTGAATAATATAATATTTTCAAAGATTATAATACTGTGTATTTTTAAATAACTTTTTTTTTATATGTCTATTTTGAAGCTTAGCATATATAAAATATTTTTTTAACATTGCTCCTATGTTGCTAGTTATGAATTGGAGATTCAGACCATCACAATAAGACTGTCATTAGATGGCAATTCAAGCTTCGATGAAGCAGGGTTGGTGAAAGGGCTCTCTCTATTTGCTACCCAAACAATCATCTTATTTGCGAAGTTCTTATACCATATTCTGAGATAAATGTTTAAAGAAGTAGTTGGCTTGAAGAAACCGAGTTCAAAAATACTATTTTGAGATATTAGAGTTTGGTTTATAGAGAGAGATTGGCCATCTAAAAGGGTGTCATCTCTAATTCAGAAGCAAATCCTATGGTAAATGAATAACAACAAAAGCACAAAGAGCTAGAAACAAGACTTTGTCTTAACATACATCCTCTCTAATTTGTGGGATTATAGGTATAAGAAATGTAATTGAAAATGAATCAGAGAATAAGGGATGAAAACAAAGAAGAAATCCCTTGTGAATGTATACGAATGCTTTCTTTGATCATATTTTTGCCATCAACTCTCCCTGTAATTTTTTATATTGACTATGGCATTGAACTTTATAGTCATGTGATGATGACATGTGGGTTGAATTTTCAAATTGCGTTGAGAACATCAATAATATAAGGCATTAAAGAAACTTAAAAATGAAAACTTTTATATGATATATTTTTTGTTTATTGTTTTTACTCAAAACCATGTCCAAAACACGCTTGTCTTCAAAGTTATTCTATATATTCTTACTTGAATAAATTCTATATATTTCGCTCATCTTAAGGTATTGCCTTTCTTTATTTATTATTCTTTGTTTCTTAAGAAAAAAAATTCACATAGTCAAATAAAACTATGTGCAGAAACCACCACATAAAACTATGTGCAGAAACCACCACAGTAATAGTCAACTTTAATTATTGAAATGTTTGTTCATAATAAAGTTTTATTAGAGTGTATTAGATTTAAGACCGTTATTACAGGACCTTTGAAAGTCATTGATAAATATATATAGTTAATGTAGTCTATGTCGTATGTGTAAAAAATCTCAAATTTAGCTAATGCTAGCACTGAAAATCCATCAAAATCCCACTTTAGCCCTTGCATCATTAGATATCTAATATGTTGGGGAATCCGGGACTAGTGATGTACTTATAATTATTTATAGAAAGCTAAATATACTAATATAATATTTAATGTGATTTATCAAACCACCTATATCCATAGAAAAGGTCTATATTATTAGAGATAAAATGTTGAAGATTATTTTATGGAGCTGTCAAAGAAGGAGTTGTCAACAAATCTTTTTGTTTCTATTATTTCTAATTATCATGCTAATAATAAGCTATTATCCTAGTCTCGAGGAATTAGTTATTCTATTATTATGTTAACAAATCATAGCATGATTTCATACTATAAGTTTGGAATTCTATTTCTTTATTTTTTTTATATATATATATATATATATATATATATATATATATAACGATTGCATGGAATGTATGCAATCAATATTATTCATTCTAGACTAATAAATTCAATACAATATTTATTGTCTCTCATCTTCTATCTTACTTCTTCTCATAAATATTTTTCTTTCAAATACTTTCATAAAAAAAGAATACAAAACAAATATATAAAGTAAAAGGATTACATCCACTCAAACTCAACTTCGAGCTTACATACATTGCTATAATGGCAACAGGGCTGCTGTCCTTGACAATCTCTCTTCTCTTCACTCTCACACTTTACTATCAAATAATACCTTTATTTATAAACATTAATAGTAAGGCAAGAGATCATCAATTATGATATAAATAGTGGCAGTACATGAGTTGTATAATTTTTATTAATGATTAATGTAATTATCATTATAGCTTTTTGATAATAACAATTCTATTTTTTAAAGTAGGTTGCACAAGTTGTTGCTCATTAACAGCGTTATCCCAACATAATATAGTATCCAGAAACCAAAAATTATATAACAAAAATTATATAACAAAACAGGAATTTTTCTTTTGATGAATGAAGGATTTTCGTTTATCAAAGAACAACTTAACAGGAAAATTCTACTTACAAACATAGAATCTTGTTTAAGGACGGATAAAAACAAGCAAACTTACTAGCTGTTGTCAGATATCTAGTGGCGACTCCTTGATTGCGTTCCTTGCAAACATGATAAATGTAACCACACTAGGCAATCTTCAACGTGGCAGCACCCCTTTTTCAGCAAAACCTGTTTAGGCCAAAGGAATTCAGTAGACAAGTCACTTAGTTGTGGGATTTTTCACAGAGCTGAGGCGGATTCTACCAAATTCCTTTAATGAGAGGACTATTTTCTAAGTTTAAGATGTCTTAAAGATACTGACGTAAAAAGAAAATGTCAGCCGAATATATATCATAATATGCTGGTGTAAAGGCAAGTTGCAGCCTCTATAGCCAGGTGAATCCTCATAGAATCAACCCTTCATGAGAAATAACACAGAGTCTGCTCCGGTGGGCTGTGATGTAGTGGATTGGGGAAAGAAAAAAGTGAAACAGTTGAAAGAGTGTGTTGTCGATTGAGTGGCCAGGAACCTCCATTGTTTCCACAACCAAATGCTAAACCCAGCCAAATAAAGACTTGAACCATTACTTAAACTTCGTTGTGGTAAACACGGTTATCCTTCAGTTTTCCGTTACATCCTATAATCTTTCATTCACCATACAGTAAACCTGAGATTGTTAGGACATCCCTGTGAGTAATTTTTTATTTTCCTTTCTGATGAATTCCCGGATGTGAATGTAGTAGTATCACAAGGTAGTGGCATTTTTACCTCACAGCTGATAAGTCTATGATTTTTCTTTTATGCTCTCAATTTCAGTTTATGTTTAATCATAATCCATCTATTCTTGATTATGGAACGTTCAATCTCTCTGTCAGAAAACACAAGCTAGGAATCTCGAATGAAATTTTCTTAGTAAATGAAGCATAATTTGCTATGCTTTGATGGCTAAGGGCATTGCTTCAGGATGTGGGGATCTCTTCATTCTCCTGTACGTTAGCCCCAGTGACATTTGGAGCTCCAAGAATGCTTAGTTGCCAATATAATTTTAGGTGGAAAGATTTGGGCACACACCAACTCCCAAGCCCTCTAGCCTACAGCCAACGCTTCATTGGAGCAGAGCACTGGTTATAAACTTGAGTAATGCTAATCATGCATAATATTGTGCATGATTTGCATTACTGTAATCTCTTCTTTTGAAGAATCATAGGAGTGGATATCTAAAGCTTTGGAAATTGCAACCAAGAATTTAGAGCTTGAAGCACTCACAACTTCTGATTGATGGGATTTTGAAGATTCGCAGCTGGATTGCAAAATTTAGCAACAATTCATTGCAAATCGAAAGCATTAAAAATTTTTTCCGAAGCTTTTCAAAACTAAATGCTTGCTCGAGTACACCAACTATACAAAATTTGCAGTTTGACATTGCTAGCATTATCCAACAGTAAAAGAAAAGGGAAGAAAAGAAAGTATGCCCTAATCTAATGCAATACCATGTATCCTGTCATTCTTCGGTCCATTGCCTACATCTACAATTCCCAATTCCTTCTCAGCTCCAATAGTTGTTGAAGTTATTAACGTTTCCAAACTTATCCGCTTTAGGGTTAGGATTATTGACAGGGTCGTAGAGCAAGTTGTTCCTTTGTTTAGGCGTCGGTGGATTCGCAGGATGAATCCGAGGCATCCAAGTAACTTTCTGCTGCTCATAAAACTGCCCACCAATTAAATTTGCGTTCTCATCTATACAAAAAGTAAAGTTCTCCTCACCGCTAATGTCTTTCCCATATAAAGTTTCCTGGGAAGCTTTCTTACTTTCAGGACTAACTTCCTTGTGGAGATTGACCATTTTGTTCAGCGACCCAACCATTTCCATATGATACTTCTCATGATAGCTACCAGCTTGCATGTCACCGAGCAGTTGGTTTTCGACGTCTAGAGCTTTGGCCGCATTATTATTCATCACAGCTTCCTGACCAAGATTTTCTAGGTTGTAGTTTTGGAAAGGAACAGTCGGATGCACCTGAGTTGATTGGACAGAAGGAACTAGACCTTGATTCCTTGCTAAAGCATCTGTGTAAATGCTCATCCCTTGACCCCAGTAAGACATCCTTTGATTCTCAAGGACATTGCAGCTATCTGAAGGTGAAAAACACATGACTATGTTACCACAAAGATGGAGTTATTAGTTGTGCAGAACTAGAATCTTATACAAAAGATGGTTCGGAAGCAATACACTACCTGATGCTGGTGTAGGCATCTCCTTAAGAGATGGCAGGCCTTTATGTCCATGCAGTTGCTTATGCTGCGCCTGGTCATTATGTCCATAAGGTTGCACATGCTGAGTCTGGCTGATATGTCCATAAGGTTGACTATGCTGAGTCTGGCCTACATGTGAAGGAAAATTCGGAAAAAACTGCTTTATGAGGTTGAAATCCTGCCCTCTGTGATTGTAATCAAACGCAAAACCTGGATTGCCACACAAATTTGAATGGAAGAAGGGATTTTTCAGAGTTGGAAAAGACTGCTTGCTCAGCTCAAAGAAACGTGGTTCGCAAAGTAAGAGGTTCTCATAGTGTTTGTCAAGGTATTTATGAGGAAACGTAAGATAATGCATCCTGAGAACAGAATAATCATAAGCAGAAAACTTTAGACCTTATAATGAAAAAGGTACAGATTCCTATTAGATCATACAACTTCTATTGACCAAGTGGATGATACCATTGATGTTCACCTGAAAATGGAAGCCTGCCTTCCAGTGAAGTCTTTTGCTAGCTTCCAAATGGCCTGTTTCCGCGGCTGCGGATCAATTTCCTCATGGAAGGTAGGAGGCTGGTTTAGCTGCAGAAAACTCAACTGCATTATAACGGGACTATCCATAATTGAGAAACTTAAATTGAAGCCCTGGAAAAACAGAAAATACCTCAATTTGTAGAATTCCTGGCTGATTCCTCTCCATTACAGCATTTATTCCACTTATATCACTCCATTGAATCTCAACCTTGTATTTCAGACGCCCTTGCAAGAATTCCCACACAAGCTTCTTTTTAATAAAATAACATTTAGCCATCAAATCACCTTCATTCTTAGACGCTCTCTGCACACATTCCATCAAATATTATCAGGGAAGAATCTAATGCAAAATTCATGTCACAAGTCTTTTTAACCAAGAACGTGATGGACATTCACACTGAAATTAGTCATGTCCATGCCTGTGTGGACGCATGTCACGAATGGTAACGAAACAGATGTCCGAATCATGTCATTTCTTTTTCAAAAGGTATTACCTGCCATTCACCGATTTTGATAAATGAGGCAGCAAAGTTGGAGGCCTTCAACCTGGAAGACATTGACTTCTGGCCAAAATTACTGCTATCCATGCTCTGGCCACTTGATGCTTGGGATAGCCCAGCTTCAATTGTTCTAGCATGGTTAGGAGTTGTTGTTGAATCCATCCAATTTGGTGGCAGACTGAATTGTAATCCAAGTGGATTCAACTGCAAAAGCTTTCTAGCCATCTCATTCTGTTAAGAATACAGAAAATGAAATTCAATATTATAGCACTTGGCATGCAAAAAGAAAGAAAATAAAAGCAGACAAATCTTGCACGAAGATTGCAAAGATATACTGAAATCCCACCATCCCTTCCATTAAAGAACAAAATATATTATATATACACTTTCAAATTCAAAAAAATAAAATTAATAATTAATTATATTTTATGTTAAATAAAAAAAGAGGAAATGACAACTTATTAAAAAAATAAAAATAAAATCTACAAATAGCAAACCTCATCAAGAAAAAAGGAAGAAAAATAAAAGGCGCTGATGATATCATCATGAAAAAAGAAATGCATGTTCACATGTCACTCAATTAACAAACACTCAAAAGCAACAAACACAAAGAAATGAGGCAAAGAGAGCAAGCAAATCTTGTGAACTACTATATACCAAGATCACGCGCATCAAAGAAGCAAAACCCTCCATGCAAAAGCCAAGAAACACAAAGAAATGAGGCAAAGAGAGCAAGCAAATCTTGTGAACTACTATATACTAAGATCACACACATCAAAGAAGCAAAACCCTCCATGCAAAAGCCAAGAAACACAAAGAAATGAGGCAAAGAGAGCAAGAAAATCATGTGAATTACTATCACCCATGCCAAGAAACCATTAAAGAAAGCACCAAGAAATGTCAAAAGAAGAGACTAAAACTCATCCCAAAACCAAAAGACTAGCAAAGAAAATGGAAAAAAGCATGATTCTTGAATAAAAAGCAATCAAAATGAAAGAAAAGAAAGCATCTTCAAACCTGCTCATAGCTCTTTTTTGGTGTTTCTCTAATTATCTGGTTTGTTTCAAGAACAATCTCATTATTTTCATCATCAATATCTCCAAATAGCAAACGCATCCAATCTAATGTATCATCACCAATACCGTCATCATTCTTACCACCACCATCACCCTTCAAATCGAATCCATCAAGCTTTTCAACCATGGTGACTTTTACAAAAACCCCACTTCATATATTCTCTTTGGTTAGTTCTTGATTGCATATACACTAACCTTTAAAGGTCAAAGAGTAGTGTATGTGCAAAGATTGGCTCTTTGGAGGAAAACAGGGGAAACAGAGCTACTGAGAGAGTAACAGGGCAAATGGGAGTTTACAGGGAGGAGTAAGCGAGAAAGTGTTGTGTGTGAATAGGGACTAGGTGTTTCTGTTTATGGGAACCAATCATTAATTCCTTAAGTGGAGTAATTTGAAGCTAATATGTTATTTCTTGGATTACTCTAATTATAATATATTTTTATTTTCTTTTTTTAACCTTAATCATTTTTTAATGTAAATAATAAATTGAAGGGGAAAATGAGGGAGAAAAAATAATTTTTTTATTTGTTAGTTGTTAATGTTTTATGTTGTACAATTTATCTTTATCTTCAAGTCAGGTTTTTAGGTTTATGCCGTCAGAATTTTATAGCATTTGTTTTTTATTGATCCTTGACAATCTCTCTTCTCTTCACTCTCACACTTTACTATCAAATAATACCTTTATTTATAAACATTAATAGTAAGGCAAGAGATCATCAATTATGATATAAATAGTGGCAGTACATGAGTTGTATAATTTTTATTAATGATTAATGTAATTATCATTATAGCTTTTTGATAATAACAATTCTATTTTTTAAAGTAGGTTGCACAAGTTGTTGCTCATTAACAGCGTTATCCCAACATAATATAGTATCCAGAAACCAAAAATTATATAACAAAAATTATATAACAAAACAGGAATTTTTCTTTTGATGAATGAAGGATTTTCGTTTATCAAAGAACAACTTAACAGGAAAATTCTACTTACAAACATAGAATCTTGTTTAAGGACGGATAAAAACAAGCAAACTTACTAGCTGTTGTCAGATATCTAGTGGCGACTCCTTGATTGCGTTCCTTGCAAACATGATAAATGTAACCACACTAGGCAATCTTCAACGTGGCAGCACCCCTTTTTCAGCAAAACCTGTTTAGGCCAAAGGAATTCAGTAGACAAGTCACTTAGTTGTGGGATTTTTCACAGAGCTGAGGCGGATTCTACCAAATTCCTTTAATGAGAGGACTATTTTCTAAGTTTAAGATGTCTTAAAGATACTGACGTAAAAAGAAAATGTCAGCCGAATATATATCATAATATGCTGGTGTAAAGGCAAGTTGCAGCCTCTATAGCCAGGTGAATCCTCATAGAATCAACCCTTCATGAGAAATAACACAGAGTCTGCTCCGGTGGGCTGTGATGTAGTGGATTGGGGAAAGAAAAAAGTGAAACAGTTGAAGGAGTGTTTTGTCGATTGAGTGGCCAGGAACCTCCATTGTTTCCACAACCAAATGCTAAACCCAGCCAAATAAAGGAAATGACACCATTGTTTCCACAACCAAATGCTAAACCCAGCCAAATAAAGACTTGAACCATTACTTAAACTTCGTTGTGGTAAACACGGTTATCCTTCAGTTTTCCGTTACATCCTATAATCTTTCATTCACCATACAGTAAACCTGAGATTGTTAGGACATCCCTGTGAGTAATTTTTTATTTTCCTTTCTGATGAATTCCCGGATGTGAATGTAGTAGTATCACAAGGTAGTGGCATTTTTACCTCACAGCTGATAAGTCTATGATTTTTCTTTTATGCTCTCAATTTCAGTTTATGTTTAATCATAATCCATCTATTCTTGATTATGGAACGTTCAATCTCTCTGTCAGAAAACACAAGCTAGGAATCTCGAATGAAATTTTCTTAGTAAATGAAGCATAATTTGCTATGCTTTGATGGCTAAGGGCATTGCTTCAGGATGTGGGGATCTCTTCATTCTCCTGTACGTTAGCCCCAGTGACATTTGGAGCTCCAAGAATGCTTAGTTGCCAATATAATTTTAGGTGGAAAGATTTGGGCACACACCAACTCCCAAGCCCTCTAGCCTACAGCCAACGCTTCATTGGAGCAGAGCACTGGTTATAAACTTGAGTAATGCTAATCATGCATAATATTGTGCATGATTTGCATTACTGTAATCTCTTCTTTTGAAGAATCATAGGAGTGGATATCTAAAGCTTTGGAAATTGCAACCAAGAATTTAGAGCTTGAAGCACTCACAACTTCTGATTGATGGGATTTTGAAGATTCGCAGCTGGATTGCAAAATTTAGCAACAATTCATTGCAAATCGAAAGCATTAAAAATTTTTTCCGAAGCTTTTCAAAACTAAATGCTTGCTCGAGTACACCAACTATACAAAATTTGCAGTTTGACATTGCTAGCATTATCCAACAGTAAAAGAAAAGGGAAGAAAAGAAAGTATGCCCTAATCTACTGCAATACCATGTATCCTGTCATTCTTTGGTCCATTGCCTACATCTACAATTCCCAATTCCTTCTCAGCTCCAATAGTTGTTGAAGTTATTAACGTTTCCAAACTTATCCGCTTTAGGGTTAGGATTATTGACAGGGTCGTAGAGCAAGTTGTTCCTTTGTTTAGGCGTCGGTGGATTCGCAGGATGAATCCGAGGCATCCAAGTAACTTTCTGCTGCTCATAAAACTGCCCACCAATTAAATTTGCGTTCTCATCTATACAAAAAGTAAAGTTCTCCTCACCGCTAATGTCTTTCCCATATAAAATTTCCTGGGAAGCTTTCTTACTTTCAGGACTAACTTCCTTGTGGAGATTGACCATTTTGTTCAGCGACCCAACCATTTCCATATGATACTTCTCATGATAGCTACCAGCTTGCATGTCACCGAGCAGTTGGTTTTCGACGTCTAGAGCTTTGGCCGCATTATTATTCATCACAGCTTCCTGACCAAGATTTTCTAGGTTGTAGTTTTGGAAAGGAACAGTCGGATGCACCTGAGTTGATTGGACAGAAGGAACTAGACCTTGATTCCTTGCTAAAGCATCTGTGTAAATGCTCATCCCTTGACCCCAGTAAGACATCCTTTGATTCTCAAGGACATTGCAGCTATCTGAAGGTGAAAAACACATGACTATGTTACCACAAAGATGGAGTTATTAGTTGTGCAGAACTAGAATCTTATACAAAAGATGGTTCGGAAGCAATACACTACCTGATGCTGGTGTAGGCATCTCCTTAAGAGATGGCAGGCCTTTATGTCCATGCAGTTGCTTATGCTGCGCCTGGTCATTATGTCCATAAGGTTGCACATGCTGAGTCTGGCTGATATGTCCATAAGGTTGACTATGCTGAGTCTGGCCTACATGTGAAGGAAAATTCGGAAAATTAAACTGCATTCTGAGGTTGAAATCCTGCCCTCTGTGATTGTAATCAAACGCAAAACCTGGATTGCCACACAAATTTGAATGGAAGAAGGGATTTTTCAGAGTTGGAAAGGACTGCTTGCTCAGCTCAAAGAAACGTGGTTCGCAAAGTAAGAGGTTCTCATAGTGTTTGTCAAGGTATTTATGAGGAAACGTAAGATAATGCATCCTGAGAACAGAATAATCATAAGCAGAAAACTTTAGACCTTATAATGAAAAAGGTACAGATTCCTATTAGATCATACAACTTCTATTGACCAAGTGGATGATACCATTGATGTTCACCTGAAAATGGAAGCCTGCCTTCCAGTGAAGTCTTTTGCTAGCTTCCAAATGGCCTGTTTCCGCGGCTGCGGATCAATTTCCTCATGGAAGGTAGGAGGCTGGTTTAGCTGCAGAAAACTCAACTGCATTATAACGGGACTATCCATAATTGAGAAACTTAAATTGAAGCCCTGGAAAAACAGAAAATACCTCAATTTGTAGAATTCCTGGCTGATTCCTCTCCATTACAGCATTTATTCCACTTATATCACTCCATTGAATCTCAACCTTGTATTTCAGACGCCCTTGCAAGAATTCCCACACAAGCTTCTTTTTAATAAAATAACATTTAGCCATCAAATCACCTTCATTCTTAGACGCTCTCTGCACACATTCCATCAAATATTATCAGGGAAGAATCTAATGCAAAATTCATGTCACAAGTCTTTTTAACCAAGAACGTGATGGACATTCACACTGAAATTAGTCATGTCCATGCCTGTGTGGACGCATGTCACGAATGGTAACGAAACAGATGTCCGAATCATGTCATTTCTTTTTCAAAAGGTATTACCTGCCATTCACCGATTTTGATAAATGAGGCAGCAAAGTTGGAGGCCTTCAACCTGGAAGACATTGACTTCTGGCCAAAATTACTGCTATCCATGCTCTGGCCACTTGATGCTTGGGATAGCCCAGCTTCAATTGTTCTAGCATGGTTAGGAGTTGTTGTTGAATCCATCCAATTTGGTGGCAGACTGAATTGTAATCCAAGTGGATTCAACTGCAAAAGCTTTCTAGCCATCTCATTCTGTTAAGAAGACAGAAAATGAAATTCAATATTATAGCACTTGGCATGCAAAAAGAAAGAAAATAAAAGCAGACAAATCTTTCATGAAGATTGCAAAGATACACTGAAATCCCACCATCCCTTCCATTAAAGAACAAAATATATTATATATGCACTTTCAAATTCAAAAAAATAAAATTAATAATTAATTATATTTTATGTTAAATAAAAAAAGAGGAAATGACAACTTATTAAAAAAATAAAAATAAAATCTACAAATAGCAAACCTCATCAAGAAAAAAGGAAGAAAAATAAAAGGCGCTGATGATATCATCATGAAAAAAGAAATGCATGTTCACATGTCACTCAATTTAACAAACACTCAAAAGCAACAAACACAAAGAAATGAGGCAAAGAGAGCAATAAAATCTTGTGAATATACACTAAGATCACACATCAAAGAAGCAAAACCCTCCATGCAAAAGCCAAGAAACACAAAGAAATGAGGCAAAGAGAGCAAGCAAATCTTGTGAACTACTATATACCAAGATCACGCGCATCAAAGAAGCAAAACCCTCCATGCAAAAGCCAAGAAACACAAAGAAATGAGGCAAAGAGAGCAAGCAAATCTTGTGAACTACTATATACCAAGATCACGCGCATCAAAGAAGCAAAACCCTCCATGCAAAAGCCAAGAAACACAAAGAAATGAGGCAAAGAGAGCAAGAAAATCATGTGAATTACTATCACCCATGCCAAGAAACCATTAAAGAAAGCACCAAGAAATGTCTAAAGAAGAGACTAAAAC